GAGGGTGCTGGCGCGGCAGCTCAGGGAGCCGGGCTTCTCGGCACCCAGCAAGTGGGTGAGGCTCACCTGGCTCTCCGAGAGCCCCGGGCGTGCACCCGGCTGGGTGCTCCGGAGCTTGGGCACCACTGGCTTGAAGGCCATGGGGCGGATCAGGGTCTTCTCCACATTCTGCCAGGGGAAGAGAGGAGAGCAGAGGGCTGGGGAGGACCCACCGCCCTCCCGAAGGGCTGTCTGGGGTGGTGACGGGGGTTGCCCCCAGCCCCGTCACCTTCACACCCCAAAGGAGAAAAGGGCCGGTCACTGCCTGCTCCATCCCCCCTCCATGGGGTGCCCATGTGGGCTCCCACACACAGCCCGGCACAAAGGAGGGGACATCACACCTGAGCTAACAGCCCCAGCGTGGCATGGGGAGCAAAACCAAGACCCCAGGACCCACCCACCCTGCTGCCGCACCTCCCTCACCTCTTCCAGCTTGCCGGAGACGGGGACAAGCTTGGGGGGCGGCCCCCGGAGGGGATCGCTCGGGGCTCGGTCATCGCGGGGCTCATCCGAGTCGCTGCAGGGGCTGGCGGGAGAGGGGGCATCGAGCCAGTCGCCGCAGAAGCCCCCGTTGGCGTAGGCGTGGGCAATGCTGGGCAGAGCCACGGGGGGCTCCTCGGGGGACGGGAGGTCCCAGAGCAGCCCCTCCTGCTTGCGGAAGGAGGTGGCGGGGGGCTCCCCATCGCAGGGCTGGCTGGCGTGGTCGTGGCGGGGCCGGCCGGGCAGGAGGCTGCCGACACTGCCCATGGCGGCGGGGGGCGAGCGGGCGGCGGCGCGGAGCTGCGCGGCCCCCTCAACAGCGGCCTCGAGGGGCACCGGCAGCGTCTGCACGATGGCCATGGTGGGGGGGCCCCCGGCGGGCAGGGGCGCGCAAGCAGCCTGCGGGCAAGGGAGACAGGGCATCAGAGCTGTGGGCACCACTGGGCATGCCCCACGGGCTGCCAGCATCCCCAAGTGGGCCTGGGGGCACCCCTGGACACCCAGGCCACCATCCCCAGTCTCATGGGCCTGCCCAAGGAGAAACAGGCAGAAGGAGGTGCCAAATAAACCAGAATAAGACTGGGATTAGCCAAGGGGTGGTGCCAGCACCACCCCCCGAGCCAGGCTCAGCACCCCGGTGGAGCACGCCAGGGGCTGTGGGGTGCTGGTGGCACTGTGGGGCAGTGGTGATGTGGTCCTGTCCCCTGCTGTGCCCCAGCATGACCCCGCCGTGGGAAGCGTGCCAGGGCTGGAGGCAAATCCTGAGAGGCCTGTGGAGAGCCAGCTCTGGGCAGCCTGCCTACCCGCCTGCCCCACGGCGCTGCCTGCCCCACGGCACCCACCAGCATGGTCCCCAAGGAGAGTGAGGAAGCATCCCCACGCAATGGGGACAGCCGCTTTCCCTGCCCCACAGTCCCCACCTCTCTGCAGTGACCCCACAGAGGGCGCCCCCCACCCCCAACCATCCACGGTGGGGCGCAGGGTCCCCTGGAGAAGACCACCGAGAGGGCAGCTGCCAGGCTGGCGGACGGTCCAGGATGCAGGCACAGGGCTCTTCCCCAGCCTCGACACACGGGTGCCCCTCGTTCCCGCCCCACACCAGCCAGGGGGAGGGGGGGCTCTGCCAGTGCCCTACTGCGGCCCCCCCCTGCCCCAACCCTCGCCATACGCCTGCGTGACGGGAGCCAGCCGACGGGCCGGATCCATCCCCCACTGCCTCATCGCATCTCGCACATGGCTGCGGCTGGCACGGGGCACGGGCTGGGGGGGGGGGGCTGCTGCCCGCATGGTCTCGCCCGCTGAGCTGTCACCTGAAATCAATCTGCCTGCCAGCGCCCAGGGGGCCGGGGGGGGGCAAGCAAGGGAGAGATGCTGGCGAGCCAGCCCCCCCGCAGCCACAGTCACCCCCACCAGTACGTGCCACCTCCGGGCACTGTGACCTCACACTGTGCCTGTAAGACCCCCAGGGTGGGAAGGTGGGTGACCACCCCACCCTTCCCCGCTGCCCCCCCAGTTCCGCTCACCTCGCCAGCTGCTGCCCATCCGTCCGGTCCACTCGGGCCCCCGCACCGCGAACACGGCTCAGCCGGCCCCTGAAGCGGGAAGGAGAAAGAAGAGGGGGTCAGGGCATCAAATGGCAGTGGGGATCCCCAAGCCCCCCCACAACCAGCAGGGCTGAAGCAGGCGCTGTCAGCGTGGCACAGAGGGTGGCAGGGGACCCCACTGTGGTCCCAGCGCCCCGGGAGGGGTGGTGGGGACAATGGTCCCCTGTGGGGACCTGCCACTGCTGGAAGGGCAGGAGCAGGGATCAGGAACCAAGCAGGGACACAGGACTCCCAAAGGGACATCTCGGGGCCCCCCTCACATGCAGCCAGCCAAGGTGCAGCACCCCAGCCCAGCAAAACTCCCCTGGGACATGAGGGTCAGGGGGACACCCCTGGGGACAGCCGGGTCCCCACACGGAGGGGACACTGCCACCGCCACGGCCTCGCGTTCAGCGGCCGGGCTGGGAGGGGGTGGGAAGGGACTCCCATCTTCTCCCTCCCGGCCCACCGAAAGGGTCCCACCACCACCCAAGGGGGGCAAGAGCCTGGGGAGGGGGGGTGGCCAGCCCGACCGGCTGCTGGCACCCGGCAACCCCTCCCTCCAGCCACCCAGTAAAACCAGACAGCAACTGGGGCAGCGTCACTGCCAGCCGCTCCGGCCAGAGTGCAGCAAAGCCAGATCCCACCCTTCTGACCCCAAAACGCCAAGGGAAGACTCGGCCCTTGCTCGGCCAAACCCCCACCCTGAGCTGCTGGGTGTTTCGGGTCCCCAGGGACCCCTGTGCCTCGATGGCACCTCAGGGCCACCCCAGGGCAGGAGGAAGCAGCCCCTCATCCCTCCCCACGCACCTGGCATGTGGGGGTGGACACCGCCTTGAGCCCTCCCCTAACCCCCCCACATCCCCAGGCTCCCTGGGTGCTGCTGCCCTCCTCCTCTGCCCCACACTCCCCCCCACCCTCCCACTCACCCCACGCTGCCCCACAGACCCCCGCAGTGCTCAGCCTGCCTGACCCCATGGCACCCCTAAATGCCCCATGGCATCCCTGGGCCCCTGCTGCCCCACAGCTCCCCCAAAGAGCCCTAAACCACCCCCCAAAGTGCCCCACGACACCCCCAAAGCGCTCCACAGAGCCCTTGGGCTTCTGCTGCCCCACAGCTCCCCTAAAGTGCCCCTAAAACACCCCCAAAGTGCTCCACAGAGCCCCTGGGCCTCTGCTGCCCCACAGCTCCTCCAAAGTGCCCCTAAAACACCCCCAAAGTCCTCCAAAACACCCCTAAAGTGCCCCACGGCGCCCCTGGGCCTGCACTGCCCCACAGCCCCCTCAGAGTGCCATTGAAGCACCCCTAAAGTGTCCCGCGCCCCCCTAAATTGCTCCGCCAGAGCTCCTGGGCCTCTGCACCCCCAGGACACCTCCAAACTTCTCCTGAAACACCCCCAAAGCGTCCCACGGCGCCCCAGAGCCGCCGTTGCCCCCCAGAGCGCTTCGCTTCCCACCCCACCCCCCGCCAAGCGGCCCCCGGGGGCCCGGCCCCCCCAACACCCCAACCGCCGTCAGCTCCCCCAAAACACAGCACCCCCCCCACACAAACACCCCCCGAATAGCCCCCTCGGGGCCCCCGGCCCCCCCCCCCCCCCCCCCCCGCACTCACCGCGGCCCCGCTGCCGCCCTCCCGCGCCGCGCCGCGCCCCGCCGCCCCGCCCCGCGCCAGGACACGCCCCCTCGCTGCAAGCCACGCCCTCCCCCCCGGCGCCCCGCCTCCGCATCAGGCTCCGCCCTCCCCCCGGCGAGGCCACGCCCACCGAGCGGGAAGGGGATGGGAAGACGGCGGGGGGGCTGTGGGTTGCGTGTGCGTGGGGTAGCGCGGAGGGGGAGCCCCCCCAGCACGGGGTCACCTTCGCCCAGTACAGCCCCAGTCACGTCGATTCCGAAGGATTCCCGGGCTGTGGGACACACACACTCGTCCTCTTCTTTGCCCCCCCCCCCCCCCCCCCCGCACCTGGGGGCTCTCCATCCTCCAAAGCAGCCCCAAACCCGCGGGCTGAAAGTCGCCCCCGAGGAGATGCCCCACCCCCCAAATTATCTGAGGAGCCCAGCACCCCACCAAGAAGGGCTGGGTCGGGGGGAAGGAGGCTCAGCCCCGTCTGACAGCACACCCCCCATCTCCCCCCTCTCCGTGAGATGGTGCAGCAATTGTCACCCTCCAGCTCTCCAAGAGCCTCAAACTGCGGGAAAAGGGAGAAAAAAAATAAACCTACATCAACCCACCTGCAGCCCAGTGAGTCGTGAGTGCCCACCTGTCCCCCTCTCAGGGTCTGGGATCACCCAGGATCCCCCCCCTCAAAGGCCCAGCTCCATCACCCCCTCCCAGCCCCAAAGAGGGATGGGTGGGAGGCGGGGGTCCTGAGCTTTCCCACTGCCCCACTCCACAGCCCCATGACAGCACCCACCCTGGGCTAGACTGGGGCAAAACGGGGTCCAGGGAGCTGTAGGGGGCCCTTGGGCAGAGGTGAGACACCCACACCCCCCACCCATGCCACCATACTCACCCTGACCCAGCTATGCTGGGGGCTTGGCTCCCCCCGCCACACCTCCGCTTCCCCGGGATTGTCCTCCGCCATCAGCCCCAGCCTGGCGGGGAAGGGGGGCTCACACCTGCACCGACAGCACCCAAGGGTGCTCTCTGGGAGAGCCAGTGCACCCCGGAAACCCAGGGCTGGGTGTGTACCGCCTGCCCCGGCCCCTCATTATGGCTCAGGTTAAAACTATGCCCGGCGCGGAGGCTGGTAATAACCCGTGTGCCAGGGCAGGATGCTCTGCACAGCAGGGACGTCCTCCACACCGCATCCCCCCAGTCGTCTGGGCGCCACCCCCTCCCCAACCGGCGTCCCCCTGCCCCAGCCCCAGGGTCCCTGGGTCAGTAGCGCAGAACAGCACTCACATTTATGCTTTAATAAAACTAGGAAGGAAAAAAAAAAACAAAGGGATTAGACCAAGATCCAGCCGTGGACTTGTCCTACCATGGCGAGGACTGGCCAGGTCACAGTATTTGCTGCCTGCAGCCCAGAGGGCACGGGGGTGGCTGCCCTCCTCCCGGCCAGCAGAGCAAGGCAGGGCTGCTCCCCCCAAGGTTTTACTGCTGGTGATAACCCCCGGGAAAAAGGGGTTGGGGGAGACCCTGAGCAAAGGGGGCTGGGTCAGGCATTAGCCGAGCAGGCAGAGCTGGTGTGCCCCGTGTCGCACCTGCAAGCCAACGCTGCCTTCAGCCCGCCGTGAGCAGTGATGCCACGGGCGTCCAGCTCCCACCCTCCCACCACATCCCACGGAGAGCCCACAGCTCCGGAGGGGCAAAAGCCACCCACAATCTCCCACATTTCCCTCCATTCCATTCAGGATCAAGCCCAGAGACCCTGACCCGTGATGGGTGGGCTCACGCCATGTGTCCCTCTTCACAGTCCCCCACCAGCACAGTCCCTCCCACCAGTGACAGCCCAGGATTCCAGCTCCATTTTAGCCACCATTTAACAACCTGCCACAGGTCCAGAGATCCCCAAGCCCTGGGACTGCAGGTCACTGCCCCCCATCACCCAGCACACACTGACTCTGCTCCCAGCACTCAGCACCAGTACGGAGCAGCCAGTGTTTGTCAAAGCACCCTCCCCTGGTCACTCTTCTCTGGGACAAGCCCATTCCTCCCCTCACAGTGGCCCCACATCTCAGAGACACCATCCTGGCGACCAAGAGGCTTGTTCGTGCAGCAGAAGAAAGGGCCACAGCAGCATGTGGCTGCTGCTCCCGGGGGAGAGGGACTGGTATATCCCAGTCCCCTGCTCCCAGCACCAGTCCCCGTCCCTCCTGATGGGAGAGGAGAAGGATCTGAGGAAGAGATCTGCCGGGCTCACGGCTTCTTGGAAGCTCCTGAGCCTCCCTCTGGAACTTTCTTGGTGGTTCCCAAGCCTCCCTCTGGAGCTTTCTTGGTGGTTCCCAATCCTCCCTCTGGAGCTTTCTTGGTGGTTCCCAAGCCTCCCTCTGGAGCTTTCTTGGCTAAAAGTGCCTTCTCCTCCTTCATCTTCTTCAGCTTGACCTTGTTTTTGCCAGTTGACGAGAAGGTGAGCGAGGCCTTGCTGAACTCCAGGGGGAAAACACCCACATCCCCATCAAAGCGGTTCTTGGACACCTGCAGGTAGCGCTTCCCTGGCCCCGTCATCAGCTTACGGTCCTGCAGGATGAGGACATTATCCGCTTCCTGGCTGGCCTGGGGGGAAAAAAAAACATCTCCAGGAGGGATGCAGTCAGAGTCACAGGGTTCGGAGGTGCTCACGGGTTGCCCGCCCAGCTCCTTCAAGCCCTGTTATGAGACATCCCACACCACGGCAACTCCAGCACGTCCTTGACATCAACCTGTTGTCTTCCCCCAGGACATCCCAGCGACCCGCCGGGCAGACAGGCTTGAGCTGCAGCCACAGCACACCCCGGGGAAATTAGGGCACACGGGAGGGCTGTGCGCACTCACAGAGCCCTTCCTGCCCACCACCGCACTGTCATTCAGCATCGTGTCAGAGTGGAGCACTCAGAGAGCCCATCCCTGCATGCTCCCTGGCTCCTTCTTTAATTATCTCATACTACATCCCACTCACAGTCAATGAGGATTAATTAACTGCAGCTAAAGCCCCAACAGAGCTTTAGCTGGCAAAGGGTTTGCTCCCTGTCTGCAACTCCCTACCAAGGCCTGGCCAAATCGAGACTCCTTACATCTTCAGCAGGTGACAGGAGTCCTGGGGACATCCTGCCCCTCAAGTCCCCAGCGATGACTCAGGGTGCTGGTGGGAACTGAGGATGGCTGCCCAACGTATCCTAGCCCCTTCCTGGGAACACGCTGTGCCCGCTGGACAGCAAGGGCCACCCCAGCTCAGCTCACCTTGGCAGAGCCGAAGATGGAGGCCGTCTGCAGTTCCTTCTCGTCATCTTCCTTGCGGGGATGGATGACCAGCGTGATGTGGCAGGTGTTGTCCGTGGCAAACTTGCGGAAGGCACCAACGATGTAATCCTGGGCAGCGAGCCTGCCACAGCAGCAAGAACGGGGTCAGGGGCTGGCACTGCTCAATGGTGGCAGGCAGCAAGGTGCTGCCAGGTTCAGGCCCACAGCAGGAAGCACCCAGAGGTCTGGGCTGACTCTGTGAGGCAGCTGGACCCACACAGGCAAGGGGATAGGGCATGACAGGGGTCGCTGGTAACTGGCTCACACTTTCCCACCTCTTTTACTCCAGGGCAGCGATCACCCTTTAATGAAACAGGGCTGCCAGACAGGACTAAAAGAGCCACCCTGCGTGGGTCCCCAGCCCCTGCTGTAACACCTGATAGGGCCAGCTCCAACGACGAGGGTGGTGGAGGAAGGAGTGGGCAGCTTGGAGAAGGGCTACCTGTCCACAGAGAGGTGCTCGTGTCCCATCATGAACTGGAGATTGTCGACGACCACGTGGGTGATGTCGTACATGTAGACGGCGTGCTGCATGGTGTCAATCACCGTCCTGGGTGGGAGGAGACCGCGATCAGCCCCGGGAATCAGCAGAAGCAGGGATGGGGATGCTGAGCCAGGCACGGGGACGGGGAGAGGCAGAGCTGGGAGGTACCAGGCTGGCTCCCACTGGGCCCTGGGTATGTCCCACCTCCACATCTCCTCCATCGCAGGACAGGCGCAGCCCCACCCCCACAGGTAAGGGCAGCTGGATCAGGAGGACCCTGCTGCTGCCCACACAGCCTCTGCTCACCATCCCGTGATCCCCGCAGCCCACGGGACCCTTGGGGTACATGGGGATGTGTGCAAGCACCACAGCGCCTGGTGAATTAAAGGAGCTGGAAGTGCCTGTCCTCCCTCCTCAGCAAACAGCAGCGCTGCCAGGTGAGCAGGGTGTGGGGGGACACATCCTGCCAGGGACAGAAGTTGGTTTTAGGGCAACCACCTAGCACAGGGACAGATCCCCTCCTTTCACACCCACCCCAGAGGGAGGCTGTGACAGTCCCCGCGACAGCAGGAATGCAGCCAGTTGTGGCAGTACCCACATGCCAACCCCGGGACTTGAACAACCCCGACGTGCCTCCTGCCAGCCCCAAATCTGTGACCCATGGCTGGGGAAGAGCCCCAGCTCCCCAAGGCCCTGCAGCACATGCCACAAGAGGTAAACGCCACTGCGGGTGAAGGCGTGGGACCATACTTGATGTTCTGCTGGCCATGGAAGGTCATGAAGTAGAGCGGGAGGTCCTCGAAGCGATCAGCCCACTCGTCATACAGATCCAGCTGGTCCTCCAGGCGCTGGGCAGCAAACTGCGTCAGCATGATCTTGGCCAGGCGGATGTTGTTGATCTCGAAGCTGCCCCAGAGTGTGCACACCCCCTGCATGCACAGGTCCAGCGCGTACTCACTGATAAAAGTCGTCTTCCCACTGCCCGTCGGGCCTGGCGCAAGGACAACAACGGGAGGAATTAGCTGGGGGAGATGATCTGACCCATCCTGAACGTGCTGGGGGGCTGTTTAGAGGAGGAAGCGCCGGGGAGCGGAACAAGAGCAGCCCATCCGCAGCGCTCCCACCGAAAACAAGCAGCATCTTGTGCCAAGTTGCACGGCTGGGCGCACCTGCGGCACCTCCAGCAGCCAGCGGGTCCTTGCAGGGTGCAGGGAAGGTCTGGGCAGCCGGCGCGGGGGCACAGGGAGGGCTCAGACAGGAGGTGGTGGGTGGGAGCAGGGGTAAGAGACACCCCAGGATTTCCTCTGCCCAGGCAGGGAGCCCATCACCACACCAGCATGCCCTGCCCCAGCGCATCTAGGAACGTGCCCCAGCTTCTTGCGCACCTTCAAGGCAGGCTCAGACAAAGCCATAAGCAGAAAGGGACCTGGGAGCCTCATGAGGCATCACCCCCAGGAGGGTGAAGCCACCGAAGAGCCCTCTGCTCCCCCCCCGTCCACCAGCTGTTTGCCCATCACCTGTGAAGATAGTGAGCTCCCCTCTGCGGTGCCCTTTGAGGAGCTTGTTGAGCTCAGGGAAGCGCGCCCACTTGATGCCGGCCACCTGCTCGGTGTTGACCAGCTCCCCGAACACCTCCTCGCGCAGCTGCCGGAAGGAGACGATGGATTTGTGGCTGGCGGGCAGGGCGGCACGCAGGATCTTGGTGAGGTTCAGGCCCTGGTTCAGAGCCTCCAAGGGCCGGGGCTGCAGGTCACCGGGGCGCACCAGGGAGCAGCGCTTGAGGCTCAGCTTGCGGGCAAAGAGCTTGGCGGCTTCCCAGGAGCGCAGGTCCTCGCCCAGCCACAGCGTGATGCGCTTGAACTGCTCCAGGTAGGGGAGGAGGACAGGGGGCAGGCAGGTGGCCCCCCGCGGCAGGGCCAGGCTGGCCACCCCTGTGGCTTGGTACAGGGCCAGGGCGTCCAGCTCCCACCCGGTTAGGACCAGCTCTGTGTCTCGGCGGCCGATCAGGGGCAGCCCAAAGAGATTGCGGTAGGAATCAAAGCGGGGTAAAGTCTCTTCCACATAAGTTATCGCACCTCCTTTCCTCTCCACCCTCACGAGCTTCAGGCCCTTCAGGGTCGCGTCACGGGGGCTGAACCAGGGGAAGACAAGGGACTTGGCCGTCCTCAGGTAACGCACCCCGAAGCGTTTCAGGGTGGCATCCGTCACCAGGGAGATCCCGAACATATCCTTGGTCTTGTTGGTCTCGTCCTCATCCAGCAGCTCCCAGAGCGGCAGCGCCCGGTCCCAGATGCAGCGGGCGTCCTCGCGAGCCCGCCGCGCCTCCTCCTCCGGCTCCTCCGAGCTGGTGGCGGGAACGCCGCGGTGCCGCAGCTCCACGTTGGCCTGGAAGTCCTGCCAGGTGCCCTCGGCCAAGGTGGCCGTGCACAGGAAGCTGCCCGTGGTCTTGTCGATGAAAAGCGTGTATGGGGCGCTGGCGGCCGGCGGCGGCAGCTGGTCCTCCCGGCCGTCGGTGAAGAGGCTGGGGGTGTGCAGGCAGCTGTAGCCGTCATGGAAGGGGATGCCCTGGGCCCGCAGGTACTGCCGGATCTCGGTGATGGAGACGGCGGGCACGGGCCCCTCGGGGGAGGGCAGCACGTCCTTCTTGTAGCGCCGCTGGGTGAGGCGGCCCGGCACCGCGGGGCTCAGGGAGGCTCCTTTGCTCCTCACCCCCCCGCACAGCAGCGGCAGGAGGCGGCCGGCGGCTCTGCCGGGCCGCAGGGGCACCACCGCCATCCCGCCCGCCGCCGTCCCGCATCGGCGGCTGCCCCGCGGCCCCCGCCCCCGGTCCCCCCCCCCGGGCCCCCTCCCGGTCCCCCCCCCGGGCCCCCCCCCGGGCCCCCCCCCGGGCCCCTTCCCGGCCCGGCGCCGCTCAGGCCGCCCCCCTCACGTGGAGCTCCACGGGGGCCGCCATTGCCTGACCCCGCCGCCGCGCGCGGCGCGTCACTTCCCGGCGGGGGTTCGGAAGCGAACGGTCTTTCCGCCGCCCCGGCGCTCCGGTTCCGGGGCGAGGCCGGAGCCATGACGGGCCGCGGGTCGCCCAGCCGGTTCCTGGCGGCCGTGCTGCACAACGGGGTCGGCCGCTACGTGCGGCAGCTCCAGCGCCTCCAGCTCGTCTTCAGCCCCAGCGCGGCCGATGCCCGCGGCGCCAGGTACCGCCGAAGGGTGAACCCCACCTGTGACCTTGGGGGGGGGGGGGGGGGGGGAGGTGATGGGGACCTCCACCCTCTCAGGCTAATGGGAACCCCCCACCACCCCCCCCCAAAAAAAAAAAAAAATAACAAACAACAAAACAGGCAGTTCGTGGAGGAAGCGGCGCTGGACTTCGCCCGGCAGCACCCCGATGTCGTTCTCTATGTCAGCCCCCGCTCCTGCCCGGCCCCGCTGCTGCTGGCTGAGTACTGTGAGTGTGTTGGGGGGGGGCACGGGAGAGGGGGGGTTGGGTGGTTTGGGGAGCCAGGATGGGGATGGACCCCCCCCCCCCACACACACACACACCCTGCAGGCTGCCCCCCTGGGGCAGGAGGAAGGGAGGGGGGGGGGGGGGTGCGGGTTGGGGGACACCCCCCGGCCTGAGCTCCTTCCCCCCCACCCTTCCTCCCCGCAGTGAACGGGACGGTGCGGGAGGAGCTCATCGCCAGCAAGACGAGCGAGGAGATTGTGCAGCTGGCCACCAAACTGGCCGGCCAGTCCGGCCTGGACATCATCCGCATCCGCAAGCCCTTCCACACCGCCAACCCCAGCGTCCAGGGCCAGTGGCACCCCCTCACCAACAAACCCTCCGCCCTCACCGTCCGGGGGCCCCGCCTGCAGCCCCAATAAAGCCTCTGCCCCCCCACCCCAACGCCTGCTGCCCGCAGAGACACTGCCACACCACATCCAGACAGAGCCGCGTTTATTGCTGGGGGCGCGGTGGGCTGTGCACGAGGGGTGCTGGACACAGAGGGTCATGCCCTTCCTTTGGGGGGGTGTGGGGGGGGTGGGCTTGGGAGCAGCTCGCCCCAACTCTTACAGCAAAAACAAGGGTGGGGGCAGGATGGGAGAGACCCGGCGTCCAGCTCTTGCGTTTTCTCACTAAGCCTCGCTCTTCTGGGGCAGGGGCAGCCGGGCTCCAGCCCGTTAGGGACCCCGGGGGCTGCCACCCTCCTCCTGCCCCCACTGCAGGGCTGAGCTCCAGGCGATGTTCTGATCCTGGAGGCCCCAGCGTGGAACACAGTGGGGAAGATGCACACCCCAGCAAATTTGTCCCTCGCTGCCTTCTCCGGTATCACGTCTGTCCCTGGGGTGTGAGACGCTTTTGTCACCCCAGTCCCTCGGGTTCCCCCAGGAGGCGGCAGGAGCAGAGGTAGTTGGGGAGAATTAGGGACAGTGTCTGCCCCTGGAAAGTGCCATGAAGAGCAGGAGGCCCCAGAGGGAGGCAGGCCCCTGTCCAGGGCTCCTCCTCCTCACTGTGCAAGGATGTTTCCCCTCCCACATGTTGTCCCATGGGGGCCTGAACCCCAGTTCTCTGACAGCACCAATGGTGCCCAGGGCCGTGAGGGCACTGTGGACTTCGGGAGGGAGGATGCAGGTGCTGCGCTGGTCCCTTGCCACGCTGCAGGGCACGGCCGTGGCTGCTGGTGCGTCTTGCTGCCTGCTGCTGCGCTCCACTCTTCCCCTGCAGTGCCCTGAGGAGAGGGGGCAGAGCCCCGTCAGGGCTGGAGGCCCCATGGGTGCCACCTCCCCGGGTCACCCAGCCCTGCGTTTCACCTGGGGGCAGGTGGTGGGGGCTCCAGCAGCTGCTCCGGGACATTCGGGGGACGTGGGCTCCTTGCCCTGGATCCATCCCTCACCAAATCATCCTCTCCCGCAGAGGAAACCCTGGGGGGGCAGACATGGGAGAGCACGCAGGGGCTGGCAGCCACCAAGGCCGCCTTCCCACAATGGGAGATACATCCATGGCCCCTCTCTTGCCTGTGAGTGGGCAGCTGGGGGAAAACAACCCCCAGCCCCACACCGGGAAGGGACCCCACACCCTGCGAGAGACGCAGGCGCTATGGCAGCCCCCGGCCCCTTTTCCTGCTCCTCACCCACCTCTCAGCAGCTGTCCGGCTCCTGTGTGCCGAGGGATGCCCAGCGGGGCAGGCCGAGTCCACGTGTCCACAACAGCATCTCTCTCTCACACCTGGACAGACAGACAGACAGAAACTCTCCCACCCCCCAGCGTCCACCTTCAGCCAGGCGCCAGCTCCTGCCTCCAGCTCGTGGCCGCCATCAGTGGGTTTTTATACATAAATAGAGCTCCCAAATTTAAATAGATTCTTTTCCTTTTTTTCTGTACAGCAAGTCTCAAAAGTGAGTGAAAAGCCGAAGGAATGGCCAAGTCCGGGCCCGGCCCGGCTCTGCCATCCAGGAGGTAGTTTTGCCTGAGTCTTGTGACGCTGCTGGCCAGGGGTAGGAGAAGGGGCCCGAGGGGAGGAGGGTCCCGCTGGCAGGACGCCCACCCCCCGGCCCCTACACGGAGCTCTCATCCAGCTTCTCCACCAGCTGCGTGTGTTTCCGCTTCTCCAGGATCTTGCTGAGCTCCTCGGTGAAGGACGCGCTGTAGAGCGGCGAGGCCAGCGGCTCCTCCTGCTGCTGCAGCAGCATGTAGCTGTTGCCGTTCATCTTGCGGAGGACATTGGGCAGAGCCCCCACGCCGTTGGTGAGCTCGGCTGGCAGCGGGGGCGGCGGCGGCAGCGGGGGCGCGGCAGCCGGCAGCTCCTTGACCGGGGAGGTGGCAGCCGTGGGCGCCTCGCCGGGAATGATCTGCAGGCAGCCGTCAGGGTAGGCGAGCTCTTCCTCCTCCTCCTCCTCCTCCCGGCGACTCTTGCGCAGGCAGTTGGCCGAGACGGTCTGCAGCTCCACGCCGGCTGGCCGCGGCTCCCCCAGGACGTACTTGCCCTTGCGCTTCTCCAGGCAGGACACGTAGAGGAGGACGGTGCTGAGCACGGCGCACAGCACCACCAAGGCGACGATAGCGGAGACATAAGCCACCTTCACGTCGCCGGCCGCCTGGCTGGCGGCGTGGGGCCGGGAGGCGGCCGTGGGGCCGCGGGGCAGCTCGGGCAGCACGGTGAGGCTGTAAGCGGCCAGCAGTGTCCGGAGACCCCGTTCTTCCCCATAGCAGCGGTACTCGCCGCTGTGCCGGGGCAGCGTGTCCGTCACCAGCAGCCCGTCCACCCCGACACGCAGCCGGTCCTGCCCCGCGCCCGGCACCTCGCTGCCGTTCAGCAGCCAGACGGCTCGTGCCAAGTTGGAGCGCTGGTCGCAGGGCAGCAGCACGTCGTCCCCTTGCAGCACTGTCCGGTTCTTCCACAGCAGGGAGCCTGCGGGGACACGTGCCTCGCACCCATCCTGCCCACCCAAAGGGATGCTGGCATCCCCCCCTGGGGTCCCGAGGGGCGGCGAAGACTCACCGCGCCCGGAGCCGCTCCGGCATCCCTCGTTGCCACCCTGAATGTCCTGCACCAGCCCTGTGCTGCAAGACACGGGGTGGGGGGGGAGGGTCTTCAGCCACACAGCCCACCCTTAGGGGGTCACGGCCACCCGCAGAACCACCACCAGATGCCAGGCCCTTCGGGGGTGACACTGGGGTGACTTTGCCATGGGGCGACGTGCAGCAGCGTGGGATGGGGCAGGTGGAAAGCTCATGGGGACCCCGCCAGGGATGGGTGGCCTGTCCCTACCTGTCTGCGGTGGCGATGGCGCGGCAGGCCCTGCTGTCCCAGGCACAGTAAGGGTCCCGGGCCAGGATGCAGTCGTAGCAGGAGGCGTACCTGGCGCAGGAGGCCAGGGGCACCTGCAGGATCCCGCTGGCTGCCCCCACGTACAGGCTCCTCTGGGGGGAAAGGGCTGGCTCAGCACTGCCCTGGCATGGCGTGGCTGGGCTGTGGAGTGCCCCGTGGTGCCCAGAGATCCCCCAGCCCCACAGCACAGCTCTCCCTTGCTGGGGCTGCACAGGGAAGTGCCCCCAACTCCAGTCGGTGCCAACGGCTGCAGCTGGCACCTGGCAAGGAGGTGGAGGTTCAGGCTGGTCCCTTTCCCCAGGCTGCCCCACTGGGCTCCGGCACGTATCCCAAGCTGGGGTGACCCAGGAGTCATGTCCCCGCTTTCCTCCAACCAGCCCAGTGGCAGCTTCGCAGCACAAACATGCCCTGTGTGCCGTGTTCTCCCGTTTCTACCCCTCACCTGGGCATGGGAGATCACCAGGCTCTCCACGGGCTGCGGGTCCCTGAACACCTGCACCTCCTCCACGATGTGGAGGCCAGAGCCCACCACCACAGCCTTGTGGATCCAGCCGTCACCTGGAGAGCAGAGCAAGGGGTCAGGAAGAAGCGTGGGGGGTGTGTCCCCCCCACCCCGACCAGCAGAGACCCGGCAAACTCATCGTGGGCTCACCCGTCCCCATGAAGAGCACATCGTAGGAGTGGCCGTCGAGGGCCCTCACCCTGTCCACGGCCAGCCGGCTGTACGCCACGCTCTTCTTCACCAACAGCGGCTCCCCGCCGGTCGGCTTCACCTCCTCGAACATGAGCGGGTGCAGCTTGACAAAGTCCAGGACGCTGTTGGGCAGGTCCTGCGAGGAGTTGTAGCCCTTCCTGCGGGAGCGGTCCGTGATGCACTGCCCAGGGGAGACAGGGGTCAGGAGGGGGATGTGGCTGCCCCACACACCCCCTGCTCTGCACCCCCAGGCACTCACGGAGCCGGGCCGGGGCTCGGGCACCACACCGTCGTAGCGGGACCACTTGCGAGCCGAGTCCTGGTACTCCATGTAGGGGCCCTCGAAGGCACGTTGCACTGCTGAGATGCTGTAGCGGCACACGGCCGAGGCTTCCATGGTCCTCCTGGGGGGGAGAGCCCCACCTCAGCCTGGGTAGACACACGAGTGCTCCCCACCAACACACCCCTGGGTGCTCAGCACCCGCCTGCGCATCCCCGGTCCCCCCCTGTGCTGCAGACTTTTAGCCCCAGCTGTTTCGGCCGCTGCCTCGCTCACCACTGTGCCGAGAGGGTGAAGGCAGCGTAGAAGACCGTGCTGGCCCAGCCGCCCCCATCCAGGCTGCAGATACTGCGCAGCACCTCGTAGTAGGGGATGTAGCAGACCAGGCGCGCCTTCATGAAGGATGTCCACTTGCGCTGCAGGATCTTCTTCCCCCCCACATCACTCTGGGAGGATGCAGAGAGCGTTTCTGCCCAGGCCAGTGGCGGGGTATGTCCCCCTCTGCCCGTGCCTCAGTTTCCCACAAGGTGCAAGAACGCAGCCCCTGCGCCGGGAGGAGCAGTGCTCGGCTTCCCATGGCTAGAGACATGCCTACCTTGCAGACACGGGCCACCCGGGCCACTCGGGCCACCTGGCTCTTGTCAAAGAAGGATGTGGTCTCCTCTCCTGCCCGCTCCGTGAAAAAGTAGTAGATTTTGTCATCGTCGCCCACAGGGCTGTCCTTGCTCTCCCTGACCAGCACAGAGGCCACGAACTCGGCATCTGAGGGACACGGAGCAATAGGTGGAGACTGGGGACCCACCACGGGACAGGGGATCCCTCCCTGCCTTGGTTTCCTCTCATGACAAACCACACAGGACCCCAGGACCACCCCCAACCCCTGCTCCACACTCCCTGAGGCGATACACGGCATCCCACGGCGGGGTGGGCGCACAGGGATGTCTCACCATTCAGCCAGTGCAGCGGGGACTCCTCTGTCTTCAGCGGCCGCTGGTGCAGGTTCCTCCGGATGTCAGGGAGGCTCCGAAACTCATAGCGCGTGGCCGTGTACAAGCCACCGTCTAGGCAGGGCAGGCACCCATCAGCATGTCCCCCCACCCCGGGGACAGCAGCGACAGTTCAGAAAGCCACCAGCATACCCATGTCCCAGGCAAAGAAGGAAGAGAAGGAGGAGGACCAAGTCCTGGCTTGCTAAGGCCCCTGCACACAGAGCCCACCCGGCTGGGGACCCCCCCAAGAGGGAATTGGGGATGGGGCCAGGGTTGGTGGCATCCCGCACGTCCCCGCCAGCGCTGGGAAAGGTGCTGCTTACCGACAATAAGGCCAGTGTAGCCACGGGCAGGGTCATAGGGGCACTTCTCCTTGCCTTCCTCAAAGTGGGACGGCAACGTGAACATGTCGGCATCCTTGAGGAGGACAGGGGACCGAGTTAGACAGGAGGGGACAGACTCACCTCACCTGCCAGCCCCAGGCTCTGCAGAGGCTGTTAGCTCGGATAGTGATGCCTGCAGCCATGCCCTTGTCCAGGCAATACAACCCCCCCACCCCGGCACCCTCCAGCTGGTCAGAAAACACACGGACAGCCAGAGCCCCCAGCCAAAAGTGGGAAGAGGGCTCAGGGGGGAAGGGGAACCCTGGCACCCCACTTTGGCACCAGGCAGGATCCAGCCAGCGCAATCAATGCTCCTGGGCCGTGCCTGGCCAGCAGACACTGCCCAGCCGGGATGGGTCCCCCCGGGCGATGTCCCCACCATGGCAGGAGTTATTTTCTTTGGGGTTTACAGTTCAAAGTGTGTTAAATAATGACGAGGCCCTTCCAGCTTGGCAGCTCCTCTGCCTGACTCCCAGGGCGTGTGATGGCCAAACCGGACTGGTGGCATGGCCATGGGAATGGGCACAGCCCCTCCAGGGTTCCCTGGACACACTGGGGACACAGCCCCAGGCCCCTCTGCCCGTCAGTTCAGGGAGGGTGGTGGGCAAAGGGCAGCTGAGTCATAAGGAGCAATGGTACAGGGGTGAAAATCCTGCTGCTGGGGGATGTGGCTGCCCCCGGACGCTCTGCCATGAGTCATGGCCACGCAGGGACCCCCCTGGCCTGGCCCAGGAAATCCCTGGGGAGGGGCCGCTGAGTCAGCCCTGCCACCGTCACCCTCCCTGCCACCGTCACCCTTCCCAGGCATGCTCGCCACTGGCCAGCAGCCAGTCTGCAGCCCCTGCTTTGGGAAGGGACCCTGCACTAACAGGGGCTGGGGACCAGCTCCAGTGCTGGCATGTCCCACCCCACTTGGCCCCGCTGAGCCCACGTGTCCCTCCCACGGCACCAATCCTCTCGCTGTGGGGTCAAAGTCCAACCCCAGCACCAAGGTGGGGACTTTGGGCACCTGCGTCATGGTGGCTGCGTCCCCAAACCAACCCACCCCAGCCTGGAGGTCTCTCGCCTCCCCCTCGAGCCAGGGAGGGACTGGGACAGGGGCAGAAAGGGAGCAGAGCTGCAGGTGGAGATGGTGGGAGAGGACGACGGCTGCGCCACCCCAGGGTGGCAGGGTGACAGGGTACAGGTGACAGCCGTGGGGCTGAGCGGTACTCACGATGGCAGCGCAGAGAGGGTGGAAGGCGTAGGTCCCACAGGCGTAGAGGTGGGTGCTGTTCAGCCTCTGCAGAAACCTCACGTGGTTGAAGCACTCGGTCTGTGGAGGGGGAGGACAGACGTCACCACCCAGGGAAAGCGGTGGTGTGTCCCCCCGGCACCCACCCACCTGCTCTACCTTGTTGTTTTTGCCCTTCTGCAGGCAGTCCATCTGCTTCTCCGGGGAGGCTTCCCAGTGGATCTGCAAGGGGAAGAGGGACTGCCACTACATGACCCCCTATCACTGCATGATCCCCCCACCATTGCAGGCTCCAGTCTCTGCCAGAACCGTCAGAGATGCCAAAATCCTCTTATATTTAGAGAGGGGATGGCTGCTCAGAGCACAAGACAGCATTCTGCCCACATCCCCCCAACCCGGGGTGAGAGCAGTCCCACACTCCAACCTGCTGGCAGAAACCTCAGAGCACCCACAAGAACCTGGAGGATCCCGAGGTGTCCTTCTCAGGGGGAGCAAAAGGGTAATGCTTCCTCCCTGCCCCTCATCCTGCCAGGGTGTCCCTGAAGCAGGCAGCTCTGAGCTTGGGGACGTCTCCCAACCACTGTCCCCATGCTGCCCGGCTGGGGAGAAGGACCAGGGGCACCTGGGGACAGCACCTCCAGGCAAGACCTCAGATGGTGAGCGGGAGGGTGAACAGGATAGGGGGGCCACGATTTGGGTAAGGACCAGGCAGCACAGGATAAGGAGGGGACAAGCAGCTGGTGGCAGGCAGAGGCTGGGCTCACCGTGCGGTGGGAGCCGTCGGTCACGTCACTGGAGTTGAGGGCGAAGATGGCCCCCCTGGCACCCACGTAGAGGATGCCCCGGTCGTCCTCCAGCAGCAGGGTGCTGTAGTTGAGGGTGCGCGCACCGAAGCGCCGGACACCCGACAGCTCTGCAAAGAGAACAGGAGGCTGAGGGAGGACCCCGGGGCAGGCACGGCACAAGCCACTGGGAAAAGACAGAGGATGGAGCCAGGAGTGGGTGGGAAGGCACCCACTGAGGTTATCAGGCAGATGGTGCTGGGTGACAGCAGTTACGGCAGGAGGAAAGGAAGAGAGGGTTTGGTAGGAGGTGAAAGGCACTAATTGGGCTCAGGCTCACAGGGGAAATTTTTCCCGCTAATCAAGCTCAGGGGTGGGAGCTGTGACATCCATGGCCAGCACAGACCTGACACGCTGTTTGGGGAACTGCCGGAGGAAGCAAAAACATGCCAGCTATGACCCCAACTCCGAACTGAACCCAACCAGCCCAAAAGGAAGGATGCAAAAAACCTGAACCAAAACTGCTGTGCAAGGGGAGGGTTCCCGCAGCGAGGCTGGGTGCTCCCTGCCCACCGAGATAGAGAAATCACTCAATTTGGGGTGCTGAGAAGTGTGAGGTGGGACTCTGCCCTGGCCAGAGGGACCAGGACCCTCCTGCCACAGGAGGAGAAAGTTCTGTGGGGTTTGGGACCCCAGAGGCAGCTGGGGAGGGAATGACTCCCCCTGAAAGGAGTCATTACCTGAGGAGAAAAGGGCACTCCAGCTGCAATGAAACCCTCTCCTGCCATCGACCACTGAGCTGGGCTTCACTAACAAGGTCAACGAAGTCATGTGGATGCTCCAGGCACGATGACGTTGCGGGGCTGGCTGACACCACAGAGGCTGGAGGCCAAGAGCCCAGTGGCAATTAGAGAAAATCATGGAAGAAAGCTTCCTGATGACTATCTGGACCGTGACAGCCCAGCCCGGGGATGATATCTGACTCAGGACACCCTCCAACGGCTGCTGCACAGGGGTGGGGCCTCGCCAAAGCTAGCTCCCTGCATGCCCTTGTCCTCCCCTGGCTTTTGAGGAGATGCCTTTACCCTGCTCCATCCCTTGGGGCACATTGACTCCAGGCACCCAACATCAGATAGACATGTGGGCTCCGATATCTGGAGCCCAGGGGACCTGTAGCCAGCCCCCCATGCTGAGCACCCTGACTTGGGGGGCTGGCGAAGGCTGGACAGAGTCACGATGCACCAAATCTGGTGCTGGCAAGACCCCAAACCTCACCACCACCACCACCAAGACCCTCACCCCCTTACCATCAAAGGTGACTGTCGTCCTGGGGGTGGCATCCAGGTCGGTGGCAGACCGCCGTGATGGGTAGCCCACCGCCGCCACCACGAAGAGAGCGGTCAGGAGATGGGCCATGCCTCTGCTCATCTTCCCGTGCCCCCGGCGAGGGCAGCCCCCCGGCCCGCTGCTTCCAGGCCGGTACAGCCGACCCTCAGGACGGGCTCCCCAGCTCCACGGGACAAAGCCAGTTGCCAAACCCTCCTGAAACACAAAACGCCGGGTCAGACACTCCTGCTGCCGCCAGCACCTCATGAGCAAGTGAGAACAGGAAGGAGCCAGCTGCACACACGCGTGGACGCTTGACTGGACACGGCCTCAGCCCGGGGATGGCTTCAGGGAAAAGCAAGCCCTTGTTTGCCAAAGGGGAAATCGAGGCACGGCGCAAGGCATTCAGCCTGCAGCCAGCGCAAGGCAGGGAGGGGAATTTGAGCAGAGCAACCCCTCCCCAGGCTCAGCGTCCGCTCGGTCGCAGCAGCGGCAGTCGCTTGGTTCGGTTGCTCGGAGGCTCCTTTTCCTCCAGGTCTGCTCTGGGCTCTTCCCTCCTTCGCTCCCAGTCATGTCCTCCTGCAGCTCCCCGTGACCAAAGGATATGCTTTGGCAGAGCCAGCTGATCCCCCATTGCATTTTCACACCTGAAAAGCAGGCACATTTACCCCCAAAACCAGAGCAGGGCTCAGGACCAAGTCCCTGTACAGGTCTCCTGGCCCACAGAGGTACTCTAAGCCCCGCTCCCCGGAGTGGCTGCTGCCGGATGGGTGGCAAGGGGGGTCCCAGGGAGCCCAAGGGCTCCACTCCTTCCTAAAAACACAGCTGGACATCTCCTGAATTTGAGGACCTTTGAGATGAGACTCCTGAGGATAGAGGCGTGGGGAAGGATGCCGCAGGCATGCAGCGACGCAGGGCAAAGGAAAATCCATACAGGAGCCACTTGGCATCTTCATCAAGTCTTTTCAAGTGAGAACAGTCTTCCCCTCACAGTGTTTTCCCATGAGGTTTCAGTTTCTCTTTCATCCCAAGCTGCCTTGAAGCTCAGCATCTACATCAGTCTTGCTTTCATGCATGCAATCCCTCCCAAAACCCCCCCCACACCCCTCTCAGCTGCTTCCAGGAAAGCCACCAGGTCATTTTGCTGGCACTAAGGAGGAAGGAGACAATCAGATACCTCCAATCAGGAGACCTCCCCATAAAGTGACCAGCACCTATATGTTTGCTTAGGGTTGGGATTTTTTATATATATAACCAAATACCTGGCCCTGTAGAGAAGCTGTTCAAACACGCTTGCTGCAGTTTCCCTGAAGCAAATACCTTGCTGGGTCTCACGTGGAGGGGAGGTAAAAACAAAGTAAAATGAAAGTGAAAAGGGCTTTGGGGCTGAAAAGGAGAAGCGAAGGGCTGGATGTGGGATCCAGCCACAGTCCTGGAGCCTGCATTAAACCACTGTTTCCGTCAGGGGATGGGTTCAGACCCAGACCTCTCACTTGCACTGGCTGCTGCCCCAGACCATTCCAGGAATGGGGCAGAGGGAAGACGTTCCCCCCTGCACAGAGCACCCATACAGCACCCAGCCCTGGGAGCGGGCAGGGTGCTGCCTGCGGGGCTGAGCTCCCCAGGGAGCAGAGGACAGTGACCCGAAGCATCCTCCCTCCGAGGAACTCCTGTTCCCAGGACAAGCCCTGTCAGGACCGAGGGTCTGCCCACCAGTGATGGCCCTGGCAAGGCGATGCAAGGAGGGTGAGTGGTGATGGAGGTCAATGGGAGACAAATTGCTTTGGTGGTACCATGTCTGGCCGGGCCACATCTGGAGCAACAAAACACCTGAAAAAGTGCTCCAGCCAGCCCCGGGCTGGCACCTCTCCATCCCATCAGTGGGACTAGGGGCACCCCAGCAGTTGTGGGGACCCTTCCCCAGGCCGCTGCGCTGGGACACGAGCCTGGAATCACACACAAGCCACAAGAGCTGCCAGGCACCTGGGCTGGGAAAGCAGAGGAAAGGAGAAACCTTCTTACAACAAGGCAAACAACGATGTCTAATAAATGAGTAACAGTCCTGTGAGCTGCCTGCATGCTGCCAGGCATCCTCACCTTATCTCCCCCAAACAAACAAGCCCTGAACTTTGCCTGCTGTCCAGCTCTGGGTGCGACAGGGATTGGAGCAAGGAGCACGGCCGGGCAGGGAGGCAGGGATGGTGCTTATTGCAGGGCAAGAGCCGCGCGGCGAGCCAGCCCCAGCTAACATTTAACCAGTGCAAGCACCGAGCCAGCAAAGCAGCAAAAAAATAAAAATAATAAATTAAGCTGTGGGGCTGTGCAGGGTTCCTAGATGGGCTGGGGCAGTGGGGAGCAGACTCCCCTGCCACTGGGGTTGGGCTCCTCTGCTTTTTGCAGGGGAGCAGCTGCACCCGTTTCCAAAGGCTCCTTTGCCTGAGATCAGATTTAACTTTGTCCTAAAGGACATTTAATCGGTTAGCTGTAAGAGCCAGTTAATATTTTACTCAAAGGGAAGGGCTGCTCTGAGCGTCTCTATTTTTTTTCTAATGTTTTTTTTTTTTCTTTATACCTAGGGTGGAGAAAAAAAAGCAAGAAGGAACTGAAACCATCCTTGGTCTCCCTTGGATTGTCACCCCAGGCTGCACCTGTACCAAACACCCCAAGTCCATCGTTTCCCTCTTGGCAAGGTGCAAGTTCAAATCCCTGAGCAAAGATGAGGGCTGGGGGCAGGAGCAGAATGCAGAGGAGGTCTTGGTCCACGGGAGCCACCAGTCAGGCTGGGGGCAACTAGATTGCTGAAGCCCAGCACTTCCATGGGAAACGGGAAAAAGCCAGGAGGAGAAACACTGCAGAGTTTTCTCCAGGAAAGAAACACAAAAAGGGAAGAAGACGAGGCTGAAAAGCAGCAGCAGTTCCAATGAAATCTGCGGTTTAAGAGAAAAACTGCCCAGAAAAACCCATCCCATCCCCAGGAGTGAGCTCCCAAGCCCCTCAGCACCTCACCTACTTCCCAGCACAGGGCGAGCTGATACAGGACCCAAAATCCAGCCCCAGCTCCTGCCCTGGCAGGCGACGCTGAAGGAGAAGGGTGGTGGAGGCAGGATCTGGCCGTGGGGCTGATGCCCGCCCCGAGAGCAGGGCGAAGCCAGGAACCAGTTGCTGTAATTGCAACGTGCAACGTCCATGGGGGCCAAAGCCAGTTATCGGTGATCCAGCGGGTGCAGCCGCGGCTCCTGGCACAGAGCCGGGCGAGCCCGGCCCAGACACCAGCTCTCACCAGCGGGATGGGTTGGCTGGTCCCCGAGGAGCACCAGGAAAGCAGCGGGGGGGGGGGGGGGGGTGGAGGCGTGCGTGAGCGTGCAGGGGAGCGAGCAAGCGCACCCTGGTCAGGTCTGACTGGGTTTACTGGGTCACAACGGAAGCTGTGCAAGCGTGACTGTGCCAGCCTTCAGCCTCCCACCGGCAGCCAGCCGGCACAGCACACCCAAACGAGCCGGCCCAGTCGGCACCTCCTTAAAATCCCCACAACCAGCGTCTCTGGAGGCGCAAAAAGCTTTTGATGAGTGAATTTCCTGGCGGCAGGTCCTGCCAACCTGGATCCGGTCAAAGAAACCAGCTAACGCTGCCACACCCCTGGATGGCCACTGCACCCGGAGCTTCTGCTGGCCATTGGTGGCCCCTTCCCGCTGCCCCGTGGTCCTCAAAGCCACGAGGCACCAAAACCTGGGAGCAAGAGCCAGCCGCACGCTGCTGTGCAGGGAAGCTGCGCTGTCAGTGGGGCTGGCAAATACGGGGGGACCTCAGCTGAAGTCTTATGGGACCCCCTTGGCTGTTTCCTCAGCAGCACAGCCAAAAACGATGCCAGATTTTTAATTTAAAAGGAACCTGGGAGAAAGAATTGAAACGCCAGGTGGGAGCAGCCCTTCTCCGGCTGACCCCCAGTATCCATCCTGGATGGCAGAACAGATTTGCAGAGTGGGACTGGATGCTTCCCCATCCCACTGCTCCGTAGACAGCTTGTGGTTGCTCCACCGAGCTCTAGCAAAGCCCAAGCAGGCTCCTGGAATGGCTGTCAGACCTTTCTCCCCTCCTTGTGGGCTGTCCCTCTTGGCACTGTGCATTCCTACAACACAGGGCTGCTGCGTTCCCAGTGGGGACCAGGATTTCCAGCAGGTCTCCTCCAAGTCACGGGGTTGCAAAACAGCCTTAACAAAACTCCCAGCAGGGTCTGCACCAGGAGACACCATTTACACTTTTTTCACGGCAGCCCAGCTCAGAGGCTCCAAAACCCAGGCGAACAGTTCAGCTTTACTCATCGGGGCCAAGCCCAGTACGTGACCCCCCCAGGCCCACTTGGCTCCCCCAGCCACATTCCCACTGGCTCAGCACTGGTTTACCCTCCCCCGGGACCTGCTCAAGTTGCCCTTGGGTTCACTTGAAACAGTCCGACCCGTTCCCAGCGTGGGGTGAGGGGGGAAAGGCGCCCGCCCTGGGGGACGAGGTGGGGAGAGCTCCCAGCTCCCAGGCGTGGGAACAAGCCAAGGAATTACGGGAAAAGAGCCATCCCGCGAGAGGGGAGCCTGGCCCCCGGCTGGCTGCAAGCGTGGTGCGTTTCGGGCTCCCCTTCCCCGGAGCCGGCAGGCCTTGAGTGGGAAATCCTGCGAGATGTGGGAAGAGGAGCCGGGATGGAGGTTGCCAGGCAACTTTAATTCAGCCTTTGACGAACTTCCAGCGCTCTGCTGCGGAGCCCAACCAGCAAATGATAAAACATCAGGTCCATCTCAAGCCTGTCGTGTCCATCTGTCCATTCACCACAGGGGCTTGCTCGTGGCCCTATGCCCAGGGTGCCCTGAAAGGTGATGGGTCCCCCCCCAGCAGCACCCCCGAAGGCCAGCCCGAGATGAGCTGCCTTTCCCGGCAGAGATTTGCAGGGGCAGGATTTGACCCGTGGGACTGTGCTGGCGCTGCTGCACAGATATTTCTCAACCAGCCGGGATTTTTGTCAACAACAGCAAGAAAAAAATGCTAACGTGCTGAAAGCCCTCCGGGAAGAGGGGTTCTGTGCAGGGTTTGGGGGCTGGGGACAGGGAGGGAAGGAGCACAGTGACCTCCCAGGAGCCCCTTGACAAGTTTATTTTAGTTGCTTTCTTTAAGCAAAACCACACTCAACCCTGAGGTGCTTCAGCGGACATGCATGAGAGCTTCGGCAATTTGGGAAGCAGATATATCCCTCCTTTACCCAAATTTGGGATTTGGGCACAGAGGAGGGGAGGGAGAGCTGCAACATCGGCTCCTCTCAAGGAGCATCCAGCCCTGCTCCCGCCACAGAGCTCCCACGCATGGCACAGCCATCGTGGAGCCAGGGGAGCTGGGGGTGAGCACTGGCAGGCCATGGGAACAGGCTCTGAATTTTCACAGCACAGCATGGTCCCATCCATCGCCAGCAGAGCCCAGCACAACCGGGAGAGGAGAGCACCCAGCTCTGATCCCACCAACATCACGGCGGGGAGGAGGTGTGTGAAGGAGCAAAGTGATGGATGGCAGAGCGAGCGGGGCGGGTTGGGGACGTGAGCCGGTTTAAGGCACACCAGTGCCGATGGGAGCCAGACATCTAAACATCCCTGAAAAGACAAGCTGATCCATCAGCAAAAAAGACTACTAATAGCCTGATTTCTGACAGATTTGCCCCAGTGGCCCCCAGCACCACGCCTTTACCTCCATCCCCCTGAAGCATCCCTCCAGGGGATGCCACCCACTCACCAAGGGGCAGGGCTCAGCCACGGTGTCCCCCTGCACAGCTGCAGGGATTGGGGCGTTTTAGTTTCTCCTCAGCAAACCATTTTCACTGATCTTACAAGAACTCGTTCCTCTCCTCCATCAGGTTGGGTCTGATGCGGAGCAGGAGGTTCAAAGGGTCTGCCAGGCAGCAACAGAACTCGCTGCCAAGTCCCCATAAGAGCTCTCCTGCTATTCCCATCCAAACCCACCCCAAAAACCTAACTGAGAAAATAAGGAAAGCTGCTCAAGCCTGTACCATGGTCAAACATCACCTGCTTGCAGCCACCTGCCAGGCACGGGGACGGCTCCGCTCCAGCAGCTCCTGACACACCACAAGCAGACAGCAAAAGCACGGTGCCCAGGACACTGGGACAGAGCTCTCCTCCACTCCCCATTTATACGGAAAACCCACCGACGCCCGATGTTAGTTGAAACAGTTCCTCGCCTGGCTCCAGCGCCCCAAAAGCCTTGCTCAGAGCTGGACCGGGAGGGAAGGGCGCGAGGAGGGGAGGCTGAATGGCAAACCCTTGCAGCTCAGTGGTGGGACTGGGAGCACTAAAGGACGCCCCAGCCAGCCCGTACCTGGCACACCCAAGCAGAGCAGCAAATGTCCCCTTCACAGGAGCAATTCCCCACATGCCGGAGGCCGTTCGACTCTTGCAAGCCCACGGTGAGGACATAGTCCCTGCAGCTTCTTCCCTCCCATCCAGCATGTCTCCCCCCCTGCAGAAGCCCCACAGCAGCAGCCCTGGGCTGACCCCGCAGCCTGGAAGCACCCGAGAGCCCAGCTGGGCACCATGAAGGAACCGGGAAGTGAATCTGGAGGATGCCGAGCCATGATGGCCAGACTCTGACTTCACCCTGTCACCAGCCACCCCCAGATCCAGGCCACGGAGGAGAAAGAGTGTAGCTGCCGAGCTTCGGGATGTGGGGTGCAGACCCCCAGGGCTCCCACCTCCACAGTGGCAGGGAAGATGCATACTCGGCACTACCAACATTAACCCCCCCCACCTCAACATTTTCCATCCTTTCCCGCATCCGCTGCAGCAGCCCAGGCTTTGCCACTTGCCAGCAGCCCCTCAACAGACCAGATGGACAGACGGACAGCTGGATGGACAGCCCCCCACGTCACAGCAAAGTTTCCCAGCGAGGGGGCGTTCGCATCCAAATGGCTCAGCGCTAGATGCGATCAGCAATTCAGCCTTCAAAGGCTTTGTGGCTGAAGCACATTGTCTCCATGGCAGAAGGAGGAAAATAATTGTAGAATTAAATTCGCAGGAACAATTAGAAAGAAAACAAGAAAAAATCCCAACCCTAAATGTAAAGGGACATTTCAGAGCCAGCAGATTTCGTGGCTTTTTGACGCATTTTAATGCATTTGCTCGTCCCTGTGGCTGCACTGTGTTTCATTTCACTGGGCTCGTACAATGCAAGACAAGAAATTAACTCCGGTGTTTGTTTAGAGCCGGTTTGTCTTCCAGTTTTTTTCCAAAGCCAGGTTTGAGTTTCAAAGACGTTTCTTGGCAATGCCTGGGGTTCCCACCATCGGTGCGGCGTGGGGCTTCCCTGAGGGGAAACCGAGGCTCAGAAATCACGCATGACCTGGGGTCCCTTTGGAAGCAGGGGCAAGAGCTGGAGCACAACCCAGCTCGTCTGGCGTGAACGCGGGTCTTTCTGCCACAAGCCCGTCCCTTTCCCTTTTATTTATTCCAAAGATAAACTGTTTCCTTTTCAAAAGTCTCGCAAGACCAGATGACGGGAAATGTTAAGGCTTCTAGCTTTAACAACCTCTTCTTGTTTCCCTCCAACAAAGCTTCAAATTTAGGGTCAAACCCAATTTGATATTCAACTCTGCGTTCAGAACCACAGGGCGCAAGGCAGTAGCACCTGGCCTTTCCCACAGTTGTTTGCATACTGCTAGCTTTGTAGCCCCAAAATCAGCTCCCCGTCTTATTTGCATGGGCTGGGCTTTGCAACAGGCAAACAAGAGCCCTCCGTCAGGTAAGGGGAGATGGGGCTGTACCTGGGGGGAGCTTTTAAGCAAAAAGAAAAGCACAAGCCGGAGCACACCATGAATCGCCAAGCTGCATCCCCGGTCCCCACACTGGTGGGTAACATGGTGCCAAAATCCTCAGTTTCCTTCAGCTCCTAACAGCAGAGCTCAGGCCCCAGGAGGATGGAGAGGGTGGGTTTGGTGATGACCTTGCTACAGCAGAGCCCTGGTGCTTGTACCTCTCACCAGGAGCAGTGGCACAGCCAGGCAGGGAGGGACGGCGGCGGCGTTTCCTCCCAAAGCACCAGTGGGGCAGGGGGCTCTCACCTTTGAATGGTGAAAGCCAGCCGCTGCCAGGGGGGCTTTCACAGCAAGAGAACTTAAAAAACTCCGGGGGCATTGTCTCCCCGCCTCCCTGAGAGGCAGCGGGTCCCCCAAGACTGGCTCCCCCTCACCAAACCGCCCATCACATGAGCCGCTTCCCAACAAGTCCCGTCAAGGTGCCAAGCGGAGCCGGCGGGCAAGCGCAGGGAGGGAAATTCCCCACACGCGGCCAGGCGAGGCTGGCACCGTGTCTCCACCGCACCCACTGCTGCCCTCCTGCACGGGGTGCCGGCAGAGCTCCCCCTCGCCAGCCCTGCTGAGCACACCTGGATGCTTTTTCCTGGCACACGACCTGCCAGATTTGCTGAATAAACCCCCCGGCTCCGGCAAACCTGTTGCATTCCTGGTGGGGAAAGTGGTGAAAGGTTCAAATGGATGTTGGAAAAGGCAGGGCAGTGGGGGGGAGAACAAGCCTACAGCATGAAACCCTCATCTGCAGGAACCGAAAGGGTGGTTGGGGTTTTGTTTTATTTTTTTCTTCCCCTCCGGTTGCAACACAAAAACAAAGTCAAGATAGGGATCTCGGCATGCTGGGGGGGGGGGGGAGCTCCCTGCCCCTTGTCCCTCTGGGCAGAGCGAGTCTGACCAAAGTGAGATGAAGGAGAGACGCATCCCGAGGGACACGCACGCAGCATCGCCGCGGCCATCCTGCCCGGGTTCGGGGTTCAGGCGGGGGGTCCCAGCCTGCGCCCGCTGCCGAAGGAGGCAAAGCAGCCAGAGCCCGCAGTGGTAGGCCAACTAGCACAAAAAATGCCATCGTTGTTATTAATAATTTCCCTGCCTCTGGGGGAATCTGCACTCCTTATCCATTTTGGGCAGTCTCTTTGTCTTTGGAGACTGTTTTTCTTGGCACCTGAAGAACCCTTTCACGGTTCCCCTTCCCACTTCATGCTCTCGGTTTTAAAGGCCAGGAGCAAGTCACTGGCCCACCTGGCTACTGATGGGGAGGGCAAAGAGACCCCCAAATCCCAGGGCTGCCCGCTGGTCTCTTCTACCCTTGAATCGGCAGGAAGACGCAGCTAGACCCCAGTGCAAAGAAGCCCCCAGCACAAGCCAGTCCCCTCCACCCAGCAGCATCTGCAGCCCCCACAGCGAGGCACCCCAAGGAGCCAGGGCTCAGAGAAGCCACATCCTGTGGCCCCCCCACCTCTTGAGGGGCAGTGGGGGGGAGGCAGGGATTCCACTACACCACCTGCATCGGTTTGGTACCTCATCCCAGCCAACTGAAACACCAGCTGCCCCCAGGTAACACCCAGCCTCCCCAAATACTGCCAGCAGTCCTCGTCCTCGCAAACCCCCCCCCAATCCGCCGGGGAAGGGAGGGGCTGTATCTAGCCCTCTCCCCAGGAGCTGGTGCCCTGTCTGGCTGCAATTCCCATCATCGTCTTCCCTTGCACCCCCAGCATGTCCCCCTCTCACACCTGCCCAGGTCCCCCAGCCCCACCTCACTCCACAACCCAAACCTGTCCCCACAGAAAGCCACCTGCGCTACCACCAGATCCTGCATATCCCCACGTCCCCTCCCGCTCGTCACCCCCAAATCCTCACCTGCATCAGAGCTCCCCAGAACCCCTCCCCATCCTGCCCCCAAGGCTCTGCCCCCCTGCTTCCCCCAAGACATCATTCCCTGGACTTTGATCCCAGCAGGTCAGACTCCTGCTCCTCCTCCTTTAGACCCTGCCTGTGCACCCAGCACCCCAGATCCTACCTGTGGACTCAGCAGCCAGATCCAGCACCCAAAAACCTACCTGCAGACCCAGACCTGGATCCAGACCCTTCCAAGGGACTCAACACCTACATCCAGCACCCTAGATTCTGCCCAGTGTGGACTCAGCACCCCCAATCCTGCCCGTGGAAACGGACCGGGAGATCCAGCACCCCCA